CATTTGTTAAAGTAGAATAGCTAAAGTAGTTGTTCATCGTGGATCCATCTGCATAGCTCTTGTTCTTGGTTATCATGCTTTTGGCCAGAACTCAAATACTTGAATTTGAATCAAAATTCTTTAAGAATCATTTTCATCTGCCTAGAGTTAAAATGTTCTGCGGATGTGTGGAGGAACTTGAGAGCCAACTCTCCAAACATGGAAGCCTTACAAAACTCTACTTTTATCAGCGGCATCTTACCACAGTAAGTTTATATTGTTGTGTGATTCTCGTAGTCCTTTAAATCTTTTCTAAGTAGCTAGACTTTTATGTTGATAATAAGTCATTTCTTTTTCCCTAGGACCCACAGATCTTTCTGAAATAAAATGTTTGGCCCGGAAGGTCATCGACAACATTGTTGTGCTTGGCTTGGAGCAGTTTCCAGTTTTCCATAATGTGCTTCTGCAGTTATTCCTGAATAGGTGTATATTTGAATTCACTATATGATTTCAGTTTGAGCATTATTTTGAGGTTTACAGCATCCTCAAGATTTTTTTTTGCAACATGATGTTTTGAGGATTAGTATGCTTGATCTGTCGAGCAAGAGGCAAGCCAACTGCCTATGCCTTGGGATTTGAAGGCTTTGAACTGCCATTGACATAATAATCCTATATGCTCGAACAGTCCACCTCTTACTATGACATAACAATATGTCCCCAATCTGTTACTCAGATTCCTCCTCTATAGGGTTACATTTCTATTCTGTGTTTGGCATATTAATTAGTGAATCTTTCTTTGTTTCAAATGTAGGTTAACAAAATTTGCAGACATACTATCTCTTATGTGCAGTCCCTTATTGAGTCTATCATGGGTGGATTAGAAGGTTTGATAAATATTCTAGATTCAAAAGGTGCGTGGTAAGCACGTTGTGCTTCTCCTCATATTAGTGCTCATTTTTAGGTTCGTCTTCACAGCCTGTTACAGTGTTACGCATTGCTTCCGTTTGACCTTACTTGGTCCTGGCACTGAAGATTAATTAATTGAGTGACTTTGTGATGTTCAGTTTCCTTACATGTCACACATGCTAAAAGACAGGACAACAATATTAGAAGTATGTAGCTTGAATACATTTTCTCATATTTAAAATTATTTGATGATATTTAAATTATTGGCTGATATTTTATTTTGCCTTCGTGTTGTCTTAGTTCATCGATCTAAAACCTAGATAACTTAGGTTGTTGCTTGCCTGCTCATGCTCTTTAGTGAATACTGACGTGTTTATAGTTTAAAAATCAAATTTGCAAACAACTGAACAGATTTGTTATTTGGCTTCAAATTGAAAAGTGCAATCTTCCCAACATAATCACATTTGCTCCGGCAGTGTTTCTTCGTGTACCTCTTACACCATTTAATTCCAGATTAGGCGTGTTTAGGAAAATAAATAAACCCAGACCCTATATGTTTATCGATGAAACAACCTTCGAGGTAGATCTTTACACTGTCCTCTTGTGGTCTACCTACTTTACATTGATTACATTAACTTCAGTGCAGATATCTGCTTAATTTTTCTAGAAAGAAATTTAAGGTGTTTTGGATGTGTTCTTAGTTTCAATAGCAGGTAAAAGGTTTAATGCATCTAAAACATCTTCATAATGCCCCATGCATTCTAGGTCCTCTTTGTATTGGTTGGTCTTCATATATAGAATAACAAACTGCATAATTATGTTCGGCATATTTTCAGTTTAGTAGTCTGGCTACATCAAAATAAAACTACCTTGTCCATTGCTAAGACAATCTGCCAATTTTTCCTATGCATGCCATTTACCATTGCTAAGCCATGAATTATTGCATTTAGATGTGCAGCTGCTGCATCCAGTATTTATGGTAGATTGCTACGAAATTGAGATACCTGAACGACGAGTTGCATTTACTGTGCCACACACAAGCGGACGCAGCAAGTGCAATGGTGGCGCAGGACAGCCGAGTGGATAGTGTGGCCGTGTGGCACGCTACCACCAAGCGCGTATTGCATCAGGCATGCAAGCGTGCAGACTGCCCTCACTCACCGCACGATCTAACAGCCCAGTGCTCAGTGACAGTACCAAGCAAGCCTATTCGTTTGTTGGTTTCAGCCAGCCCAAATCAGTCAGCCAACAGTATTTTTCTCTAAAAAAAAAATCAGCACCAGCCAGTCCAAACCAGCGTAAGCACCGACCAGTGAGTAGGAGTTCCAATTCATGGCTGATGCAAGCAAAGAAAGGTAATAATTGTAGCTCCTGTTTTCTCAATTATTATTTTCTTCCTTGTGTGTTTTCAATGATTATGATCAATGGTTTGGTTCAATATTTTTCAAATACCCCTTGTGTTTTAATCATGTTCAGGTAAAAAACTTCTCGCATGTTTTCCAGACAGGTTCAGGTAGTGACCACCTGTGCTAATCAATTTTTTTTTGTCTGCATATGTTCCTCCATAAAATTTCTTTTAACTAGCCAACTACATTTATAGCAAATATTTGAAACGTTCGATGCATTTGCAAGAAATAAAGCTTCTGTGTCTTACGATGTTATGCCTTTTAACGTCAGTTTGATTGGTGCAACACAAAAAGGGATATGCCAAACATGGATCTGCAAGGTTTGAATTATTAACTGTCCACTTTCCAATTTTTTTTCTTGCTTTACAAGGTTTCAAATATTAACGGTTCAATTTACAATTTATTTTTCCTTCCTTTGCAATGGCAGACGTTGGTCCTGGATCAAATTCTTGGGTTCAGTTTTATTTTCAGCAGTGTCAAGACCATGCAGAATTTATAAATGAATATGGTGCTTTCTTTAAGGCACAGACTGCTCTGATCTATCATGTTCTGAATTGTTCCAACAAAGTAAGTGTCACGTGAAGTTCCAGGTAGATATATGATGCATGCCGAATAGAAAATAGAAATATATTGCATCCATACATTAATGTTAATTTATTTGCCAATTTATATTTATGGTTGGCATATGGAGCTAATACTCTCCAGTTTTTGCAGCCGATCAACGATTTTGGACCATGTTCAGGATATAAATATTATATCATGTTTGTTCTAATGTGCTCAGGTAATCAGATCCATACCTATGCTTTTAATGTAGTGTATGCGTGCTTTTATCTTAGATTTCAATCAAATGAATTTTATCATTGTTCTTTTCCCCATGGTCCATCCAGTAAATTTATTTCTTATCAGAGCCGCGAGGTTTAGCGTTTAGCAATATGCTCCACGCTAACAGAAAAAATACTTACTACATACGAAGTGCACTCAATGTCTCATTGTGACTCATGCTTTTCGGTATGACTATTCTGAAATCTGAGTGAATCAATCCCTCTTCCTATTTTAGAATGCTTAATTTTAAGATTATGGAGTATTGTTATATGAAACTTCAACAGGCAGTTGGCCATGTTGCTCCTTTAGTTTTGCATCTGATCATATTTGATCTTTAAACTAATTTTGAATAGTTATGCCGCTATATGTAGTTGCAGATAACATGGTTGTTTTAGTTATAGGCTTCCTGAGTACCGCAAATAGATAGATGATCCTAGACATCAAAGATATGAAAACATGGATTTTGATATTTTGATAATTCCTCTTATTTTTCCTGGAAGATTTGTTATTTAGAATAATGATACGTGATTTATACATATTAGTTCCCGCATTTAAACTAAAACATATAGCCTAGTCTTGCCATCACGCGCACATGCGCCCTGTTCGTTTGGGTTTGTTTGGTTTATAAGCCATTGTTGAAAGTACTGTTGACTGGTTTGGTATGAGAGAAAAATATTGTTCGTTGACTGATAAGCCATGGCTTATAAACCAAATACGACCAAGCGAACAGGCTGATGAATGTTCAATCCTGCGCTGCATCTTTAGTTGGATAACCGACGCGCGCAAAGGAGCGCTTTATGGACTAGTCCGTATTATGGCAGAAACGGTCAAGGCGTACGCGCAGGGCGCGGTCGCGATGGACGGTCTGGTTTCCTCCTGTCGTGGGGCCTGGTTGCAACGAACTAAACCCCAGCCGAACAAATCAAATGTCCTTTTTCTCAGCTAATAAGTCATAGCTGAAAATATTGTTTACTGATTTATTATTAAAAAAATATTATTTATTGAACGAAAAAATACTGCTCCAAAGCGAAGCGATCAGGACGCAAATCGGTCGTCCCAACATACCGGCCCCCGCTCCGTTGGAGTCCCCCTCTGCCCACCCCTTGCGGCGCGGGAAAACCAGCTCGAGCGGGCGGGGCGGGGCCGGTTCGGCACGGCAGCACGTAACGCTCCCCCACACGCCCGCCGCACATGATCCTAGGGACGTTCTAATTTGAGTCCAGGCCCCTGGCTTCTTTTTAGAATCCATTCGTTTTGACCAAACAGTTTGCATGCACCCCCCGCATAGTTGCATTCAAGGAATGGTATTACTGTGATGAACCCTGATGAGATGATATTTAGATCGACCCTCTAGGATACATTACCATCTTCTGTCAAGCAACAAAATGTTGAATCTGGTGGGCACCATGCCAGCTTACTATTCTTAGCTCGATCTTACAAGGGAAATAATGAAACATTTTTTAGGGGAACCCCCGTGATCTAGCTACCATATTTATGGTTTCTCTTAAAGGCACTAAACACACTCAATGTGTATAAAAGAGTCACATAGATGTTACTTCATTTTAAACGTGTTTAAACTAAGCTCGAAACTAATGTTCAAATGGCTCGACAAAGATAAATACGAATATTCCCTATCCCTAACTCAAATCCTTAAGCTACTCATTTTTACTTCACGCTACTAGCCACACGGTACTTTTGTCCACCTATATAAATGCGTCATTACTAGATGCAATACTAGCAGGAGCAAATACATTCTCCCTAAGAGCCCGTTCGGTTACGGTGGTTCTCGGCAGGAACTATTCCAAGTGAACGCTAGCTGTATAAATTACATAAGGAATTCCGGCTGGAATGATTCCAGGCCACCAAAACCTGGGAATGGAACGCAGCCTAAACGATTTCCACAGCCAAGCCCTTGAGTTAGTCAACAATCACTATTCATGCATGCATATGAATAATAAAGATTAAAGACAGCTAGCCAAGCACCCAACGAGTAAGAAGTCAAACGATGAAGCAGCAGCAATGGCAATCTAGTACGACGACTCACCTTCTTCCTGCTGCAGTCCAGGTGGTTGACGATGCCGTCTACCATGTCTGTTCCGGAGAAGCAATTCTTGACGAGCTTCACCCTGACGAACCTGTCCTGGATCGGCAGCCGGTGCCGGAGCACCCTCACGATGCCCACCATAGCGTCCTCGGCCGTCTCCTCCCCCTTGCCGCCGCCGGCGGCGGCCTCGTCGACGTCGAACCCGTACACGGGCACCCGCGGCGCCGAGTCGGGGCACCGGCGGACCGCGAGGTCGCGCACGCGGCGCTCGAACTCGCCGCTGTTGCGCAGGGAGTTGAGCACCACGAGGCCGCCCAGGAGCTTCTCGTTGAGGAAGATCTGGGGCACGCGCGCCGCGGCGCCCGCGCGGGAGGCCAGCTCGGCCTCGCGTTCCGGGAACACGTCCAGGTTGATCTCCACGTAGGGCAGGCCGGACTGCCGGAAGAAGGCGCGCGCGCACGGCGGCGCAGTCGCGGCAGCCCGAGCGGGAGAAGAAGCTGACCCGGCCCTTGATGCGGCCGCCCAAGAAGGAGTCGATCGGGGCGTCCTGGAGTCCTCGAGCGGCGCCGGCACGGCGCGGGTTCTTCTTGATCTTGCAGTCTCGCCCGTCTGGCCCGCCGCCGTACGCGGCGGGGATTGGAGCTACTGAGTACTGACTACGGTGACGGGTCTATACGCTTGACGCTTGAGGGCGTATGTACAGGCGGTTGTGTGGTGCGTGGACTCTGGCTGTGTGCATTCAAGTCAGACGCTGGCGCCTGGTACGGGCAAATCTTGGCGTTACAGATGGAGATGGAGGCTTCTTTGCCGTGCGGCGCCGTGCCAGGCGGCCAGCGATAGATAGGTCCGGCGAGGTGATGGGATATTTTTGTATGTCATCGAAATTGTCAAAATTCAAACAGCTTCCCCCAGAATTTCCCTGGCGGGCGAAAGAAAGCCCGGTGTGCGAATGTGGATCCTAGTAGTTTTCACGCTACGCAGCGAGGTGCGCGCTACGGGACGATCTCTTGCGCAATCTGCCCTGCATCGGGTTCGCCGGACAAGTGCCAAGCAAGGCCTGAAGCATCGACTCTTCCGACATCATAGGGATATAAGGATAAACAAATTTGTGCGATTGCAGAAAAGACAAACAAACGCGCCAACTTCGTCAGGGAGCACATCATCGTGGCTTGCTGGACCTGGACCATATCCAGTTTCTTGTGCCATTTGGTCCCCGTTGAAACGGTGCTGACTCCTTCAAGTGCGCGGGCGCACGGCGCGCGGTCAATCATCGGTGAAGATATTCTTGCCATCTCTCCTACAACTCTCCTACGTCTAAAAAGAATAAAATGTGGACATCGTTTTAGTACGATAATTACCTTGGTTTGTCCGTCTGCCACCCCATGTGATCGATCCCACCTCCCATGATGTCCAACAGGCGAGCGAGAAAAGGAAAGAAGCGAGCGAGAAAAGGAAAACCCATGATTTGTCTCCTTGATTGAATATTGCATATTTGTAAAATAGGAGGTAGAAAATTATTGTGCTATCCATATACACATTGCATGCTTGCATACACCAGCATACATGGCAACGATCAAAAGAAAAGAGAATTAACACAAAAGGAAAGAAAATTAAGACAAAAGAAAAGAGAGAGACTGCTATCAATCCTCTGCTATAAATCCTGTGGCCTCGCCATAGCGCCCACCCTCGCCAGCTTAGCTCGCCCTCGCTCGCACCGGCCTCCGCCCTCGCACCCTCCCTTGCCCATGCTCTGACTTGTATATTTTGATTAATTGGACATTATCTTTCCACGATTTATTGATGAATATTTAAACAAGATGCTCATAGATTAGCCAAACAAGCTTGACAATTTGCTTCTCAATCTTGTACTTCTACCTGTGAAAAAAATAGTTATTCTGGTGTTTCTATAATGTATTAGGGCAGTCACAATGCTATACCTATTAATTTTAATAGACACTACATATAGAAACTATGGTCCTAATGGATAGTTTCTACAGAACAATTTTTTATCCAACCACATACATTCTCTCTCCATTCTTTACCAATCGCATCCCTTCATGCCTTCGTTCTCGTGTAGACATGTCCCAAGAATCTGATATGTGTCATGATTTTAGAATTACATGCTACTCCCAGGGCTGGATGATGAGGAGATGGTTTCTTTGTACCCAAACTACTTGCATGGAGCAGTGAGGTCCTGGGATCATGCAACGCGGAGGTTGTATAGTTTGGAGAGGATGGTTTAGAAGCAGAGCTTGTTGAAATCGAGCATGGAATGATGCTTACATGGTGTTGAAAACTTTAGACATTTAGAGGTTGGCTGGAACTGGATGGTGCTTGGGAGGTAGTAAAACTGACAGCCATCGCGCCTCAATGAAGAGTTGACGATTGACTTTGTGAAACAAATTTAAAAACCTTAGTGTTATAAGGGGGCAAAACTTGAATTTGTAGTTTCTAAACAGATAATTTCTCCTTGTGAAAGTATTTCTAACTAATTCAGAGTGGACCATTGAATCTACGGAAAATTACTTTCTCAATTCGAACTTATATGACGCTTTGGCTTTTCTAGATACATAACTTTTTTATATGCTTAGATATACATAATTAAAACAATATATCTAGAAAAACCAAAATATCTTATAATTTCGAACTAGAGAGAAAATTCTAATTATTATTTTATAGTGAATTAGCTTGTACCCAGACAGAATGCATGAAAATGATATATTTTGAAGTTTACCTTGGACATCATCATCTTAAAAAACTATGAAGAATCAAATGTACAATTATGATAACCTCTAATTTACTTTTATTCGTCGCTTGCAATAATAATACATATGATTTAACCATTTCTATATATTGCCGATGGTGAATCTTGCCATAGACACTCAAGTGGATACCTTATTCTACAGTATATGTCTGCGTGAAATAGTCCTAAAGCCACACATATTTATACGGTGAGTATAACATACTTAAGGTATTATAAGAGATTTTTCAAGACACGTAATATTACCCATGTGACAGGAATTAATATTTATATATATACTTAAACTTGTGTACAGGATGGTATGAAGATGCGGCAGAACTTATTCGTAGATTTATTGACGTACGAAAGAAATAGATATCGGAGATTTCTTTCTGCCGATATAAAATATTATCTTAGTCGTATCACGGAAAAGTCTATACAGTAGAGTTTGTGAGCTTACGATGCCGTGCTCCGTGACTGTGTTAATTTCATGAACTTTGCCTTTTAAATTAAATATCACTTTAATGTCGGTATTTAATTTTATAGTATTATTATCTTATCGTGCGATCCATGTAATTTTAGTATAAAAGTTTAGCTATCCCGTAGCAACGCACGGGCACGCTACCTTAATGCATATTGTTAGTTTGGAAGGTTAACTTTCTTTGACATATTACCATTTGCAGGGCCTTGGAGCAGTAGCTATCAAACTCATACAGTTTGTTGAAACATACGGTGTATGCTGTGGCTATTTAAATATGTCATTTCGTCTAATACTATTGATCAGCATGTAGTTTAATTTCAGACAAGCACGACCACTAGCGGCTCAGCAAAACTGCTTTAGTTTGTTTTAGTTCTTAAGACAATTTAATTTTCAATTCTGGATTTATTATTATTATTTTTGAATTTGTTGGAGCTATGGACCTTGCGGATGTAATTTGTCTATTGCATATGAACCTTTGTGGATGTAATTTGTAATCCATTTATTTAGACATTGTTATGAGTAGGTGTGAAAACGGTACGGATATTTTTCGACCGTATCCGAGACCGAATCCGTTTAGAGGGTTTAGATCTATCCGTATCCGAGTCCGGATATTCAACATTGGTAATTATTGGCGCACGAAAGAAATTGATATCGGAGATTTCTTCCGACCAATATAAAACATTATCCTAGCCACATCACGGAAAAGATCTATAAAGTAGAGTTTGTGAGCCTGCGACACCGCGCTCTCCGTGACTTGTGTTAATTTCACACACTTTGTTTTTTGGATTAAATGTCACTTTAACATTGATATTTAATTTTTATAATATTGTTATCTTATCGTGCGATCCGTGTGTTTTTAGTATAAAATGTTAGCTATCCCGTAGCAACGCATGGGCACGCTACCTAGTCAAAGAAAAAGAGAAGATATTTTTGCAAAAAAAATAACCCTTTGTCTCAAAATAAGTCAAACACTTTTAACTTTGACTAAATATAAAAAAATATTTATATTTATAATACGTAATTAGTATCATTAGATAGATCATTAATATACTTTCATAATAAATTTATTTGGAGATATAAATGTTGCACGTGTTTTTTATAAACCCAGTCAAAGTTGAAAAAATTTGATCTACACGTATCTCGTAACAACTTGTATTTTAAAACAGAGGAGTATATCGGTAATTACCGTAGCTATGAACAACAACTAGCCCGATCATTTCTTCCTTTTCTTTCCCTTCGAGTTGCGAGACTAGTGCGAAGAATTGGCAATTCTGCATCAAGTGACTGTGAGCCCTACTGACCTAACTCGTGTATCACATACATACCAATTCAATGGACTTATGTATATTTATTGAACATTGTGCTGCCTCGGCTTCGTGCTTCGTCACATGCTCATGTGTTTGACCTCATACTGATCAGTGATCAGTGAGTTTTAAAAATGAGTTAATTGTATTCATATCGATATAAATTTTACCATTGAGAAAAAAACCATTATTATTCATCTATTTAGAATAATATCATGAAAACTTTTCGTCTATCTGAGATCTACAACTCTATACATGTAGGATGTAGTTTGACGTCGCCGGGAGGCAGTACGAGAACACGCCCATGTACTTGTCGTACGCCTGCACCGTCAGCGACGTATTGCCGCGGCCGAGGCCCGTCAGCCCCGCTGATCGCCCGAGCAGCCCGCGGCTCTCCTCACCGCACCCAAACCGGAACTCCTGCACATTACAAAGAAGTCGGACGACGAGCACGAGATGTTGGCGTACGTGGACGACTTGGCCGGGCTGAAGAGCGGCTCGTTCTGCCGGTAGCAGTACGCAGCCTCTCGTATAGGATCGTGAATTATAAGTTGGAATAATATTTTTCTCTCCTACCAAATCAGCCAACAGTAAATAATCCACGATCGTTTACGGTCCGCCGAACATGCTGATGACACGCACGGCTCACACTGTGCCCACATCGTGTCGCTGCCGGTGTCGAACACCACCGTCCGCCGCGCGCTCCTCCGGCGTGCCCAGCCCGATGGTCACCAAGTAGTTTCCCGTGCCCAGGTCGAGACCGGACGCCACCGCCCGGAAGGTTCGCTGACTTGGCGCCAGACGTCAGCGAACACTGGGTACGGCCGGGCTTAGTTGGGGAATTTTTTCTTTGCATGCGGCCCATCCGCATGCAGCATCGTGCGGACTCCAGACCTATTCCGGCCAGTGGACCTATTAATCTGACAAGCACCGTGTGTTAGCTCCTAAATTTTTTTTCCACATGGTGCAAATTGGTTGGACGTCCGTACGTTGCTGGGTGCGGTCGGTCTCCACTTAATTTTTTTTTTCCGTAGTTGGGCTGTGCATGGTTGCCTGACAACTGGCGTTCCCATGATTCTCTCACGGCCCAGATGAACTAATTAAGCTGTTGGGTTGATTCTATCACGGCCGTCGGGCGCTGCCTGCCCACCGCGTGCAGAGTAGGAAATTAGACAAACCACTGAACAAGCTCATCAGGGCAGGCATCGTGGACTCGTGTCTTGACTAATGTTTGGTGCTACCAGTTCCGCAGATAGATCAAAATCACATGAACATTAGAACATGGGCTGGGAAAAATCGAACCAGCAAACTGTTCACGCTGAACATGGGCACTAAGATATATATACGGTATAATTACTCCTACTCTACTATTCCATTATTGCTGGCAACCTGCATGATTCACAGCGGCCACCTCATGCAGCAGCAGCTGGATTAAGCTGGCGGGCTATGCGGATGCAACACAGTATCCCGCCTATTTCAAAGAGCAGTACCCCAACCACGTCCAAGACACCCAAGGCTGCAGAGTGCAGAGACAAAAAGTTCCATCATCATCACACTAATGTCAGTTTCTAAGGACATGAAAGATATGGAAAGAGAGGGGAAGAGAGAACCGGTGAGCTCACCGTAGTTCACCCACACCGGCCACCGTATCTTTGGAGGGGATAACGGGACGCGCAGGTAGTAGGAGTAGCCGACGACCACCACCACGTCGCCGTGGACCAACGACAGCTGCCTCCCTTCCTTCAGCGCTGGAACCACTTGCGCCGACTCGTTCAGGCACCGGGAGCACTCTGCCGCGGTGCGGTTGGCCACGCATGTCCCCAGCGCCGCGGTCAGCGTGTCGTCGCTGTCGTCGTCGTAGAACCAACCGCGCCACGCGTCCTCGCGGGCCGTGGACGCGTTGGTGTCCGCGTACCACAGGAAGCAGCCGGCGCGCCAGACCGCCCCGCGGCGTCCGTGGCATCCGTCGGCGACGTCCTGGACGGCAGCGGCAAGGCATTTCAAGCAGTCGCTGGGGGAGGACCCGCGACGCTCGCCGAAGCAGAACGCGCGCGCGAAGGCGCGGTCGTCGCCGACGGCTCCGCCGGACTGAGCGGCGGCGACGAAGCCCGTGGGCGCGGCCGCCGGAAGCGCACCGAGGAGCGCCAGGACGTTGCCGCGGAACGCGCTGAGGTTGTTAGAGGGCGCCGCACCCGCGGGGGCCGGAGCGCAGTCGAGGAGAGGCGGCATGTGGCTGCTCGTGCCTGTCGGCTCCAGCTTGAACGCGATCCCTGGTTCCGCAGCCATCACGAGGACGAGGAGGATCAGCGCGGGAACGAGGACGGAGAGCTTTGGGCGCTCCATCTTCGACGACGCGACGAAAAAACAGTGGCGGTGGCTCACAGAGTCTCACTCACAGCTGCGCGCCGGCGAGATCGGAGTAATCGGGTGGCCGAGTGAGCGGTGGCTAGCTAGCCTGATCAAGAATCCATCAGTGATCAGTGCGTGGCAAGGGGTCGGGTGGTCGAGCGACCCGTGGTTGGCCGCCAGTGGTCTTCCGTGTCGCGACAACCTTCGTGGCAAAGGCAGTCGATTCATGGAAGTGGAAGAATATAATGTTGGGCAACCCGTCTTTGATCTTTCAGTATAGCACGGTTTTGGTTGTTGGGCATGGGCATGGGCATGTGCGCGGCATGATGACTGGTGAGCCCTACGGCTACCTATACGGCTATACCTTACCTTACCTTGCCTCTTCAGGCATCTCGCCATTTTCGCAAAGTAGGAGGAGCTAGGATGCACTACGGTTCCAAAGTCTGAGCGCGTAAACGGATCGAGGATGGATGCAGGCAGCTAAGCACGGCCGCGTGGAGGGGCCGGCCGACCCGCGCGAGCCTTCCGCGCGCGCAACATGGCCTTTACGCTACGCCATTTCGTGGATTTCCCTGGGGAAAATGCGCTCCGACCGAAAAGATGCAATGCAACTGCGGCGCTCTGATTCCGGATGGAACTGGTGTGCCGTGTTCTCCAACAGCACGCAAAGCATGCATGCACATGAGATGAGATGCAAGCAAGGCTTCTCCCTTGACGCATGCATGCATGCGCTCGATCAGTCAGGCTAGCAAAACGGCGGGCCTGGCCGTCCACGATATCGTTCCCGCACGACAGCTCGAATATGTGCATGACGACGCAGCAATGCAGTCGAACCGGTTCAATTGGGCTTACACTGCTATATCAGTCTATCAGATCAGTCTCAAGTATGAGGACCAAAATACAGGTAGATAACGACTGTCATGACACTGCCGATATCACTGAGAACAGAACAAAAATCATACTTCTTTCCCTAAAGAACAGCAGAAATGCATATATATCATCAAACTCCAAAACGTTCTGCACTACCACTTCACCAGAACGCATACACTCTTCATTGCGGAAATTTCACGCCGTCCAGAACAGTGCATTTCCCCAGAATATATAGATGATATAAATCTACTCTTTCTTCCCTATTGGAGCAAAATCAACATTCACAACTCAAATACAGAAAATTTGCCCTTAACGACATGCCTTCATCAGGAGAGAGATTTCTCCGGTAGCGATGCACGTGGGGCATATTCTCTGAGTACAAAATCAACACTCATAATTCTATATATATATATACATCTTTAGACTTCTTTCTACTGAATAAGCTCACTATGCTAATTGCATATATATGCGCGTCGGCGCGCTCTATGATCCGTCCAACTGGCCATTAACGAACGGCTGATCGAACTGACTGCAGCTCTGAATGTATCGTGGCACTACCCCCAAGTTTCACCACTGTACGCATCCCGGACGAATTCTGCTCAGACGTTTAGAGATCAGTCGTAGTTCATGTAGGAGATGTTGATCGGGCCGCCGTCGTTCATGAGATGCGTCAGGAGCCCGGCTTTGGTCGGGTCGAGGTAGTTGAGGAGACGTTAACATCCAACACTTTGCACGACAATCGGAACATCTCTCTTTTATCTTCACGCTGCAGTAGCGCCTATAGCCGCAACCATTATATGGTCCTTTGAAAATAGCCTGTATAAAAGAAATATTATGTTTTTTTCTTAAAAATAATGTAATCATAAGTACACAAAATTGTCCAAATAATAGTAGTCGCCTCCACAAAAATCTGGTTTTTATCCTCCCTCCCAATGCCTGTGAGCCGGCCTCCAAGCATGGGAGTAGTAGATCTAGGTGGGGTTAACCCCGTATGACTGGGCTCTCTCCGACTCTGGCTCCATGCTACAGTGCTGAAGGAGCTAGAGTCCGAGGCCTTTGCGATGAGAGAGAAAAACAGCTCATGTGAAGTTGAGTGAGTCGAGGCTAAAAGAATTCGTACCAAATAGACCCTTCGTATATATGTAAGCTCACACCTCATTTACAAACTCCATCATACAAAGTGCAGTTTTATTTTGTGTTGGGCCACACTATATTTCCTCTGTCCCGTAATCTTATTCTCTCTCCGTCGTCTTTTTCATGTGTTCTCTATCTTTTCGGTTCTCGCGCCAATTCCCATCCAGCGACGTGGTGACGGGCTGACGACGGCGCGGGTGGCAGGACTCAGGCGCGTAGGCGTGGCGGCCGCATCGAGCCAAGCGTGCAGACGTGCGGTGCGCGGGCTGGTGCCGAGCGGGCGAGTGGCCCTCGGGCGCGAGCAGGGCCACATAGCCGATATCCTCTTTCGCCGATGGCATGTGGGTCACAACGACTACACAACGAGCAGCTAGTTAGCAGCGTGCCGTCGTCGCCACATGTAACGCATTTGCGATGCCCAGACCTCGGTGCTCTTCTTCAACTCGGAACTCAGGGCTTGATTTCAGCTTTTATTTATCTTACTTCTGTAGTTCTATCAACCAAAAGCAAGAAGCTAAAAAAACAGCGGTTGAGTTGACTTCAAAAGGCTGAAAAATCAGTCACGCTTTGAACAACTTTTCTAGCTTTTGGTACTTTGAAAAACTAAAAAAATTAAAAAAAACAATAGCGCAGGAAAACCAGTTTTCGAGTCAGAATTAATCCTAAAACCTTCAGTTTAAACAAATAAGCCCTCATGAAATTGATCGTTTGTCGACGCCACGTCGTGCTCGGCTCCGATCCTCACCTCTCATTAGGGAAAACATATATGGCCGTGTCAGGATATCAACCTCCGTCCTACAAGGGAACATGAGCCTACTGGATTTCTACCTCCGCCTATTGGCAAAGGTGCTAGTGCTACCTCACACATGGAAGCAAGGGAGGCAAGGGTCTAGGTTCAACTCCACGAGGTTCCGCTAGTGGCATGGAGGGGTTGTCGGCGACCAGTGGCGGAGCCAAGTTAAGGCCATGCCTGGGCTCTGGCCCCCCTTTCCAAGATCGATTTTAAAGAGCCCAGCTGTAGCACGTACACTAGCTATACACAAAGTTTGCTCCTGCTAATCTACATAGGCGCATGTTTATAAGCAAGTCAAACTGATCTCTACCTCTCACATGTTGCTCTTCTCAATGCATAAACCCTTATTACTTCTGTGTTGCTTATCGTTTGTGCAATCTAGACTCGTAACCATCTTAAGTTTTCTCGCAACATGCACTTTCCGCAGCGCTTGCATGGTGGCAATATGTATTCTTGTCAAATTTAGTTTGTTTTTGTTCACACAAGTTTTCAATACAACTAGTTTAGTGTCATTTAACTATTTAGCACGATCGTGAAATTGGCCGCCCCTTGGTTTTAAGACACGCTCCGTCACTGTCGGCGACAATTGTAGAGCTATCGGTACGTCGTCAGAAAATATTTTTTTCTGTCCTTTTCTTTTTGCTAACAGGGCAATTCGAGTTCTAGTAGTGAATATTATTCTAATCTACTGCTTGGCACGTATAGAATTGTCCCCAAACACCATGTTGCTAGCTAGAAACCAAATATACGTAGTGCTTACGTGCATGGTGCATGACCAGTACGATATAGGACTACTGGCTGATGCACGCTTTGGTAGATTATATTGTTGTACGTATTGTTTTGTGGCTATCGCGTGGCTTTGACAGATTATATATAGATCCAAGCACTTGCACGGGTGTATGACTTTGGCTCTTGTTGGATCGATCGGAAGACATGCACATGCAAGTCGATGCATGACTACATTTCCTTGTCAAAGCGTGCATGCCAATGGGGATCCAAAACCGAAATGCAGGTAGCCATCGCAAAAGCCGATCGATCAAAACCATGCACGGCTACTACGTACGTACATGAGCAGACGTGGAATACCAGGTTGTGGCCGAGTTTTCCCATGCGATCGAGGACAAGATGTTTGATACTTTGATTGTTTGTTCCGCTATCGATCTCGTTTCAATCCATCGTGCGTTACGTGGAAATTTCGGAGAGAGACATAGTAGTACCGTGTTGAAGAGACGCAGCATATACGATTTTTCAATTCGTCGTGTATATATATTTAATTTCTTGGAAGTTGCCGAGAGTAACATGCACCCCTAGTCATCTAACATATCTGGGATGTTATCCAAGTTCATAAAAAACTTCCAGAATGTACATCTAAACTCCATAAATTTACTAATCGTGGCATGTCAAGTCTAAATATAATCATCATAACTTAAGATAATTCACCTGCTGTGTGGTCTATCGTCGCTGATCGCGTGATGACATGCATGGCGCCGACAAGTAAGGCTTACATGCCGGTCTCATCTCTCTCCCCACCGGCACGTGGGCCTCACATGCTAATTGTCATCAGGTAAATTAACCGACAAGTAAAGCCTACATGCCGGTCTCATCTCTCTCCCAACCGGCATGTGGGCTTCACATGCTGATTGTCATCAGGTAAATTAACTTAAATTGTACGTTGATTTAAATCTCACAAGATACACTGTTAGTAAGTTTAGAAATCTTGATGTATATTTTAAAAACTTAGAAAACTAGATGGCCTCCTGAGCCAAATTTAACAGCTAGCAGTGCATTATTTTACTTTTGTTGGAAGCTGACCGGACCAGTCAACGAAGCAACTACGAACAATGAGAAGGGAAACCACCTGGAAACGTTCAGTGAGCGGGCCAGGCAGGAAATACATTGGGTGTGCGAGGCGCGCACCCATTAGCGGAGCCACAAACTCTTAGAACCCTAGGCAATCTTTACTATGCAAAAAGAATTTAGCTAGTAAATTAGAGTCATTTTCTTTGGTATAAAGGAAATTTTCTATTAAAAATCGCCGACGAGCCCGGCCGGCCGGCCGGGGTGGCCAGACGGTGGCTCACTACTGGAAACGCGTGCTTTGCCGAGGGCTTGAGGCTTTGCTGAGGGCCAAATCTCGGGCACTCGGCAAAAACACTCTTTGCCGAGGGCCAGCCACAGGAGCCCTCGGCAAAGAACC